TGCACCTAAACACCGGGCGTTGCGATGAAAAGCCTATCGATCTGTGCGGAAGGAACCCGATGTGTGAAGTCTTTCACAGGCGGGCGATTTATTTGCTTTCGTGCAAACTGAGAAATCTGACGCACACTTTAAAAGGCTCAAGTTGGCAATAACAATACACAAACATTGCTTTGGCACGAGGCTTTAGCATGTGGCAGAAATTCCGAAGTCGACTGCTCGAATAAAAAGGAAGACAGCTGTCGCTTCCCCACAAAGGGGAACCCGCAACTAGCACCAAACTGTTCAATAATTTCAATGATTGATAAATTGATTTTATGATTAGTCTCATTTTCTGTATGGCATCGGTACAACCGCTTATGCTATAATATGGGCGTTTCACAATAGTGCGCATCCAAGAGTTTGGAACGCGTTGACCAATCACAATGAGCAAAATCTGCCAACCCTTTCCAGTCGCATTGGGTCGACAGATTTTGCACATTGTGATTGGTCAACGCGTCATAGAAGTCATCTGTGGATAGAAATATACACAAAATCACAGCTTGGTTCGATCCGGGTGTTTCAATACATTCATTTATTTACAAAAGATTTGCAACTACAGTTGAGTAAGGTGGCCGATCAACAGCAGGTATATGTAGAAAAATCAGCGTGAAGGTGTATAAACGCACCTACTTCTGCCGTTCCATTTATACATTAACATCTTTTGTACCAGTTAATGGTATTGGACGATTAGATCTATTCCCCTGCTCACGCCCGGTGTTATTCACTGATGAAATCTACACTCCGATACACGTAAAGAAGTCAAAGTTATAGGCCTACGTTGATGAATATTGCACCGTTGAGTAGGTACGACCCGCAGGCTGTGCATGGTACTACAACGTGGTTTCCATGCCGAGGCATTTATTCTCTGAGTTCTGGGTGAGCCAACACATTTTACACGCTCTGAAGTATTCCCAAAGAGCGTTGGTTTCATGGATGCGAATTTAACGTAGCATTATATAACGGACGACGCGAAATACTAATTCACGGTGACATTTCGGCTGTGAAGCAGAGAGTGTCACGCCCAGCTCAGTTGAACATTTCTCCGGGGACACATGGTGTGCCGATTCACCGAGCATTTTGTGATCGCCCAAAATGCCTGAAAATGAAATTACACGCCTTCTGGCGCCGACTAGACAGAGGCCTATTGGCCCAGCCAATAGCTTACTGCTTGTAGTCACTGGAGATGTGAGCTTAAACGCCTGAGGTTAAAAAACTGCCCCTTTCGCTGCTACGGTGCCTCTGAAATAGGCATATTCATTTCACATTTAGCTGTGACAAGCTGACCACTTGAGGTAAATCGCAATATTGAACGGAATCACCGGAAAACGTGAGATTCAAAATCTAGCGGAACGGCACTTTACCAAACCACCATGCATAAAAATTTGATGACTATTCGACTTAATTGGATTCTGCAGGGAAACGGTGCCACCGACAAATACTGCAGGCATACTGGCTGCAACCGGCTCAAAAGTAGTCTTCGGCGAGGACACGTCAGCTCACAGAAGAATGCCACATAATGACCGAAGGAAAAGGTGTGACGGAACGACCTTCGGCTGCTTGACGCACGGCTGTTCACTATCCTAACGGCGCTCCTGGCGTCCACCTGCCATCCATGTCAGTTGCTGGTGTTTATTAATTGTTCATGTACATGGCTAAGAGTCCATAAAACACGTGGGGCCGACACCTTTGCCAAGGAATTAATCTTCTAAAGTAGTTCCACGAAATTTAATCGGGTTCTTAAAAGTGCGCAGACCCAATGGAATACTACACAGAACAACCAAAACACAAGCCGAGAGATCCTTCTTTATGGAATTGACCAACTTACAAGGAATGACTTTAGGTTTGTGCAGATCTCTGAATGTAACTGTCCCACGGACGTAGACGTTTTCAATCCACTCGTCTTCCAACACCCCAACATCCAGGACTGTCGGCTGTGGCCAATGGTTTTTGGTGCTCAGTCTGGCGAAGACAAATTCAGTTTTCAGCCCCAGTGATTTAGCCTGTCACAAAATGAAGCCTGGATCGTACAAGAATCTTAGACACATCATTCCATCTCAACGTGTATGGCAACTATACCGCATGACTCAATTTTATTCAGATAAAAATATGACGCCCTTAGGTGTTTGTCTGGCCACACAGAGAAGACTCTCCAGCACTGATAATCCGTGCTAGAGTTCTCCAAATATCCTGTGGCAACGACAGGTACCCCTCACCTTGTTACCGTACATTTTATATCACAAACACCTCAACAATATGGGGCCACAAGACAAACGCACCTGCAGCGGACGGCCGCCGTGGTGCCTGGGACATGTTTTTCTTTCGCGGATCCGGAGAAACGTTCATCGATTTCGAGGAGCAGTCAGCGCCTCCTGAAAAAAAATACTACCAGACGAAATCCAATAAACGCCCCGAAACTCCCTTGCTACTCGCGGGCCGGCTACTTCAAAACCACGACCGGCGCTTGGCGATGCCAACTGATCGGTACTGCAGCCTGGTGGGAAATATCGGCAGATCAGGAGGGGAATACTTAATGCCGTGAATCGCATGCAACGACGGCCGGGCTCTGTGTCGGAACATACAGGTGTTATTAGATGCGGTGAAGAATCGAGATCCGGTAAAATTCAAGGCTGTCTTGACGTTCTAATCTTACATGGTAGAATAATGTGAGAATTATGTGTGTAGGGCATTAAAATTCTGAGTAACGAGGAATGTTTCTGCTTATTTTTCAGGGTTGGTCGTCTGCCGTGGTCTAAGAAAAAGGAGTCTTCAATTACCAATCGCAGATGATAATCTTCTGTCGTGTGGGCGTGATGGCCTTGACAAAACATCCACTAAGTGCCGGGATCCTCTGATGTCTCTAGCGAAACGGGGGGGTGGACATCGACGAGTCACACGACCGTTTTAAGTGAAGTTTGATTTTGACTTAGCCCGGTAAAAATTGAGTCTTGTGTCACAGGAAGATGGCAGGATGCGACACGCACTGAAAATTGTAATTGACGGACACTTCGTGACCAGCAACCAATTTCACGGAGCTGCTTAAGAGCAGCAAAATCGCACTAAATTTAGCAGAAATCTTTTCTCTCCTTAAGCACCATTTCATAGAGGTGCTTGGCGTGGTTGTTCTATTGGTTGCACGCATAGAGATTTCTGTTGTTACGTCACTAAGTTCAAGCAATTTTTTTCCTCCAAGGTTAGCATGCCTTTGGCTGTGATTGCTTACCATCTCCACGAAATACATGTACGTGGAGCCTCTGTTAGAGTGAAATCGTGTGCTGAGCAGCGCCGTGAAATTGGGCCCACGTCATCAGTACAGTATGTTCCTCTGTCGAGCATCCAGTGGATTGATAGACACACACGAGGCCAGCCCATAGGGATTCAAAACGCAGCGCCCTCGACCAGCGCGGCGCAGGGCCAATACAAATCGTGCATGGCGTTTCAAGTGGTATTACACAAAACGCTCACAGATGAATTATTACACACCAGTAATATTGTGCTCAGGCTGCATTTCGGTTCGGTTGCAAGAAAGATAATTGGACCATAGTTTTTTTCTCGGTCGTATGATTAACAAACCAGAATAGCTCATGACGTGTTTTCAAACAGAATTCGAGGCTACGCCAAGTTGACTATATTCCAAAGCATATTTCCCATTCAAACTGGTTTCTGTCCTGATTTTTTTCACGAAGAATCGCCCGACCATTCCGTCGACGATACTAATTTTAAGCAACGTTTCTTCCTCCCCAAACCTCTTCCTCTCGCTCTCTTTTGCAAATACAAATGGCGAAATGAACAGCAGAGCCAGAACTCGTCACGGCTCTCACGAAGTGACAAAAGTCACACGAATTTTGGCGTTTACACCAACATACAAAAAGCCTTGCTTCACAAAACGCACCATTTAAATGGATTCCTATAAAGCATTTGGTAGTTTGTGTCACTTAAAATGTCGCACGAGCGGGAAATTCTCGATACAAGACATTTCCACCTACAAACGATTCCTAATTAATTGGTCCCCACGATCCCATCGTGTTTCTGACCGCCTTAAATGTCTATCGATTTTCAGAACCACTAGCAATTCAATTATAGAGGGTGGTTTGCTTGGGGAAACGGTGCTATTTTGTGAATATTATTATTACTTATTCACCCTAGAAAAGTATACATCACAACAAGCACGGATATCGAGGACGGACAAACGCCTTTCAATACAGTAAAAATAACTCTGGAAAAGAATATATTACATATTGATATATTTTTACCACACGTCCTCATTTTCTTGTCAGTAAAATAGACTCAATCTTCGTGAAAACAGTGCCAACGATAACGCTTTGCGACCCTTAATTCTTTTGAGCCCGAACGACCAATGACATTTAATTTCGATAAACTCCATTTGCAGCGCAGGCACTCACGGTGAGTGGTTGGATCCATCTTTCACGCAACCGGCGCTGGCTGAATAATTTCCCAGCAAAAGTGAAATAACCCTAATTTTCAATTCTAAAGATCCACGTGAATAATTAAACATACTGCACTGTCATACCTGCAAAACAGCTGTCCACATGTCAAAGGAGGCAATATTAGGCGAAATGTGGGTTCTGATGGAAGATATCCTATTGAGTGATGTGCACCCAGTGAAAACGACAAATGTCAATCCATAGAGCAAACTTTGCTCTTTGGTTCATCGGAAAGCTAGACCATCGTCACTCATTCCTTCTGGCGTTCAACTACTTAACCCAGGCTGGCGCCCAAATTGTCGTCAGGTTTCATGGGCAATTTGTCTTACTTTTTATAATGCTTAACAAACATTCACTCTTGGATTAATGTGTAAATGCTCAAGCCGGGTAATGCCACCACGCACAAGTTGGAGGTTTTGTCTTTCTCAGACAGAATGTGTTTGCGCTGAACACTAGATACACATGAACACGAGAACAGGACGCGTGCAAGACACGCACAAGCATGACGTTAGCGATTACCTTCACACGCTGTCCGTGCTGCGCTAAGATCTCCTTGGTTCGTTGAGAGGCTACGTGCCTTGCACTGCATGCACTGAAGCGGATCCCTGATGTTCCGTTCGGGGGGGGGAGGAAAACCACGGCGTCCTGAAATTCGATCAAAGATTTGATCACTCACTGCGTTTACACAGTGCCTGTTCGCTCTGACTGCGCTCATAGCCAGCCACACAGCATCTCCCCCCCGCTCAAGTCGCAACAACTAATCGAGTTAACGGGGAGAGTCGTCCCAGAAAAGGCGCGCGACGCGCAGAGGTGAGAATGCGGTCGAAATTAAAGAGGATGATACTGGCTTCTTGCCAAATATAGGAGACATCATCCCCAGCTCGTACACGGACGCGTGTAAACGCTATTATGGTTTCATGTTCGCCCCACACTTCAAATGTACTTTCTTGGCCACAGAAAATTAAATCAAAGTACGGAGCGATCAGGAGAGCCAAGTCGAGCGACGTCGCACCACAAGACAAAATGCCAGCAGAAATCGGATAGTGTTGCTAAAATAGTAAGAAGGTCTGCTCCCCATGAGAAAAAACCAACTCATCTATAACATGATTTTCCCTTAATACGGAAGTCAGACAACAGGAAGGGGAGGAAAGAAAGAAATATAAGTACCTTGCCTGCTCAAAAGACGTTCCTATCAGACTATGATCGAAGTCGTTCAATCGATAGATCGCTTCGACGGTATTATGTGCTCTGTGCGGTAAAAATCACCGGTGAGCAAAATGTTTGGGTCTAAATGCTATGATTAGCATAGGCAAAGGTTAAATCCTGTGCTTCAAATCCATTACCTTTCAACCAAGGTCACGATTATAGACAGCTTAACAGGTGTTTTTTCTACGTCATATGCCACTTTCACAGCCAAGACCGTGACTGCTCTTCTGCAGTGTCTGCAAGAGGATACCAGGTGTCCCTGAAGTCAGCGACAACAAGCTGCAGGCGTGACCATCCATGTCGGAGGAACGTACCAGCAAGGAAAATCAACCGTTCAGATGATATCCACAAAATCAATAGTTCCCACCTGATCATTGAATTTTACTAATCGAAACTCCTGCGTAAATATAACGCAAATACAATCGCATTGCGGCCCTAAAAAGCCTTAATTATGAGTGAATGAACAAACGAGGGCCCATACGCTTTGTGTTAATGACCCTCAATGTTCTGATATCACCGGAAATCACAGCACTTTATTGAAAACAGAAACTGGGGCAAATGCAGTCTGGTATCGATCGTAGACCCTAACCGATTCAATTCACCGGCGTTGACACCTTTTCCAGCGTCGAACGCGTCGGCCTGAGCGCATTTTTATATCTCGCCATCACGCCGGCAGACAACATGCAAAATGCGCGGCATAGGTAACCTAATCACTCGCCCCAAACTGCATAATCATTGCGCGGAAGTGCAGCACGCAAAACGGAACATTATCATAATTATGGTATCAATTCGGATGTGGATATTAAGTTAAATCTGAGCATGCAGAAGGGGGAAATCCACCTTTTTTCAAGGAGACAGATGATGGAGACAGGATGTTGAATTAGTCGATAAAAAAGAAATGGATGAAATTGTGCATTCATGTGAGGGGGAAACTGGTATGAGATATCTGAACTATTGCTGGAAAATGAAAAAAATTTCAAGGAAAATTTGATTTGGGATACACGACGGCCTTTAAAAGTGTACATTAACATTTGTTTGTTTTCCTTCACTTGAAAATAAAAATAGCATAATATAGTTCAGAAAGGGCTCGTCAACGACCGTCACATGTGATCCCTCCCAGCGGGGGGGGGGGAGTAGAAGTTGCATTACAACCGTGGTCACGTTTACCATTATGGAAATCAAAATACTGGATTATTCCATATAGCCTAACCTATGAAACTCTGTGGCAAGCAAACGAGATGGGTTGGATTGTCCGGAAATGAAAGATAAACAAGGGATGGAACGATGCCACACAACTGAGGTTAGACCCCACGCTAGCTTCTCTGTCAAGGTATAGCATGTCTGAGGTTACATTCCATGCTAGCTTCTCTGCCAAGGTATAGCATGTCTGCAGTGCGTCTTGTAGAAAAAAAAAGTTGCCGATTGGCCATTGTTTTCTCAGCTGTTGTCTTTTGAGGGGTGCCTTCCACGCACTGAAGGCTCGCTTCTCTGTGAAATAATTAATTGGATAAAAACTGTATACTGTGAAAACATAGAGGCCACAGCCTGTACAAGCAGAAGCCAAGTTGTGGAAAGGTGAAGGTATACAAAATTCTCCAATTCACAATGGGTAAACATTTAGAGAGGTATCACCGTGGCATAGTCCCAAGACGTTTTTAATTTTGTTGAAATATCTGCCCCAAATGAAGCTCGTGGGATTTTCTCGAACACTGCAGATGGTTTGAGCGCAATTTTAGAGCCAAGATAGATGTTTTCGTTAAAATAGTGATATCAAAATCTGGAAAGTGTACGCAGGATACAAAGTTAGTGGCCTGTTTTTATATGCTGTGGCAGATTTCCCTATTGCAGTAAAATTACAAATCGTAAATTCTGCTTAAGACAAAAGGACATAGATATCTTTTGAATGACTTAAATATGAATCTTTCTTTGAAATTCCTGAAAAATAAGTTAGTGAATTGAAATTTTAGTTTCCCATGGGAAGGAAATCGTAACAGAGCGCACTTTGAAACGTATACTTAACCCCCCCCCCATGAAAGTGGAGCATAATTAATTTGAATGCCTGAAGCCCTGTCTCAATTTTGAGACCCAAGCGGCGAAATGGCCCGATGAGGGAGCAACTCTCGACGGGGGATGCGCGGATTAGAAGTAAGGAGATTACTTTTCGACGGTGTCTAAGTTTAAGGCCAAGACCGGCAGCTCTGCTCGCGAGGGAAGGCTGTCGAATCTATTGCGGCAGTCGTAAGGGAAAAACACTTATTAAAGTACTATTTATGTGCAGAATTTTTTTCAGCAGGATGTGTTGAAATATTTAATCGGTGTAAAATAATCACTTATAACCATGACAAAATTCAAAATAGTACAGATGTACAGATTGAAGCCATTGCTGTATCTGAATCACGTTAATGAGACGCCTGTCCCTACGCTATGCATCTCAACTGCAGGGTGCCTAGGAACCCGACCGTTGATATGTCAGGAACCGGTTCTTAATTTATGGAAACAGACTGCCGCCACCACAGTTTCACAAACAATAAAGGCTTTGCGTGTTAGCCATCTTGCAGGGCAATACTTTCGCTCCACAGGGAAACAGGCTCTTTTGTGCATATACCCTGCGGAATAAAAGCACCGGCCTGCGAGAATGGCAGCCATGCAAACCCTCTGTTATAGGCTTTTGAATGGTGAAGATATCGTTCGGGAATGTATACGTCGGAATACAGACAGTGCAATGTCCCACGTATCAGCTAATATTTATTACATGGACTGGTGAATGCTTACCATTAAGCTTCTCACAAATTTAAGGAGTTCATACAGAATAAAGAAGACTGACCCACTTCATTCAATGGCATTTATTCAACTTACTGCCTTATCTGCACTGAACTTAGAGAACATGCATGGAAAAACTTTCGTTGATCTCACAGCCCGCAAAGTAAAATCGAAGAGTTAACGAAAAGGACTGATTACTGTTAGGGTAAAGGTTGAGTGGAATAGGTATTCACGGTATCGCGCCCCATTAATGTCTGGTCGTGAGGCGTGCGGCGAGCCGCCTTATACTCATTACACATTCATTGCTATCTCACGACGACTGACTCCGGGCGACGACAGGCACTTCCCACAATCACTTCACCGGAGCTATCATACTTCCACGGGAACTCACGAAAAGCAATTTATATTTGCAACAAGGATCTGCGAGATGCTCCAGGCTTGGGGCTGATCGTCTCGAGCTTCGAACAGCGACCCACGTTTCCTGTGTTCTTTCAATTACTGCAACATATTTGTTCTTAAAGTGTAGCTGCAATGAATTTTTCTTCGACACAAGTTTTTCTTCAACTGTTACTCTTCTTCATTTTACAGAAACTATTTGGCATCCTTACTGGATTAAATACGTCGAAAGGTAAACTTTTCAACATTTAGAATTATCTATGACAACTGAGGGCGCTGTTGCTGTGATGTCATCTAGGGGAGACACGGCTCGCTGCACAGGTGTTTCTGTTCAAATTTTGAACCCACCATTTACTCACTTGAAACATTTCTTAGAAAGAGTTAACGTTTTGTTTATTGCTATATTTTTACACAACGATGAACCTCCAGAGAAGAGAAAACTTTGAGCAAAATTTCAAACAAAAATGTTGAGTTTTGTGCACGAACCAAACAAACATTGAGGTTATTGCTTAATATGAACATCATTGGCGAAACCAAAAAGGTAGCAACACAGGCCTACCATTTGAAACCGAGACAAAAATTGAAAATGAGGGTAAGTGAAACACAAAGGTGCACTGTGGGGGGGGGGTTGGCATTAAGCAGTTTCATTGCCAGATTGCACCTACCCTTTCCAGTGCTGCAGTGACTTGCCGAAATGCGTGCGCGCCCCAAATGTAAGAACGTGCGCGTGAGTGGACCGATTCGGTTATCTCCGCCTACTGAGCATGTGGGCAATTAACGCTCGCTTCTCTCCAATACCATACGACCGTGAACGCATGTCAGACATTAATCCAAGCTGTGATTGGTCGAGAGACCATGGGGGTGGGGCTCAATGGGGAGGTCTACGATAATAAAGACCCACAGGTGCAACCACAGGAATGTCGTTTCCTCGGTATAATTAGGCCGTGTCCGAAACGGGCTTCCAGAGCTATACGTCTACGTCTACTGTCAGCGCGTCTCCACGTATTTTCAATAAAGGGAAGACCAAGACCTAGCTCTAGACAACAGATATGGGTACAGTCTAAGTCTCATGTAACGTAGACAATAGAGTTCGGGGACACATAACATAACTGCGTCTGCGCCTCCCTTGGCTTTAAATGGGTGGCAATTGGAAATGGGAAGAATCAGGTGAGCGCAATTTGATTTGATTGATGATCGAACTCTGCCTTGTTTGATACACAAATTCCTGACGGTGATATCTTCTTAACGATCAGGAAGGACGCACGGCCCTTCTGAAGTGACAT